AGAAGAGGACGTGTATATATGGAAGTCAGAAACAAGGAGTGGACTAATTAGTTAATGAGGAATAGGTGTGGACAGAAGTATCTAGAAGGGAACTAGGAGAAGGAGCCTGACACAAGAGGGTAACAGAGGGTAAACAAGAAATACATTAGAACTCAAATACAATCAAAACAACTAGAATAACACAAAATGGAAATATAACCAATGAAAAAAAGTTTTCATGACACAAACTTATAACTTTGAAAAGAACATGCAATATTTGGGCTTAACCGGCTTCTTTAATGAGATGTGGCTAACTAAGTATGCAGCAGAGGCTGTCCTGTATATTCATGCAAAGGATAACAAGCTGCATAAGATACACAGCTGTGATGTATAATCTTAGAAATTAAATTACCGTTCTCATTTACTTTTTGTAAAACCTAAACCTTAAAGTATATACTTCTCAACAAAAGCAAATATATGTTAAACACAAAGAAATCCTTATACACAAAGAAATGTATCTCATAGAAAAGATGAAAACAGTTTAGAAAAAGGATCTAATCTATTTTTGTAATTGTGTATTGAATATCTAGATTGCAATTATAACCAACTTTGAATGGAATAAGGATTTAGTTTATTGTCCAAAGGCCGGGAAATCCAGCTGTGTCAGCTGTTTCATGTAATGAAGTTAAAAAAAAAGGCATATTGAAGCAGCAGGTTCACACTGTACCCAAAAATGATAAAAATAGTAGCAGGACTTAAGAGATTATACAAATCTGAATCAAAAACAGGAATTAAAAACTAGAATAGACTTTAAACTAAAGAAAAAACCCACATAAAAAATTATAATAATAACTTGGCTGCTACTGAAAGGGCATAAGATTACATTAAATGAAGAGTGCAACATGTAAAGCAACTGGAAACCCCTAAAAATATGCATCTCCGGCTGTACTTGGAAAAAAAGCTGCCGACCATTTAAAGATGAAAGGGAAAATCAGTGCAAAAAGCAGTATGGATAAAATAATGTAAAGGAGCTCCTACTTCTTACTTGTTTTTGTAATATATCACATATGCCTACTTTAAAGCTAGAAACATGAATAGAAAAGTATTTAAAATCTGTTTAATGCTAGACATTTTATAGTCTTTTATACATTATATACGTAAGTTTTGTTATATCTGCATGGTTTTAACTATCACTTGTATTTGCTCGCCACCAACCTGCCAATAGGTCTAAATATGGAAATTAGACACCTAGCTGTTATCTCACATTGTGACCTGCTAGTCTTTATTAATATGTGTTTTTTGTTTTGTATCAGCATATGCGCTACCAATTAAGGGTTTGGACTCACCTTTGTCATTTTTTAAGGCTTTCCTTTATTTCTGTTACTTTCTAAAATCTAATTACACTGGAAATGACAAAACGATGCAGCTAAATTACAATTGCAATCATTTAGCAAATAAAGAAATACCAAAAATAACTCAAAACATCTTTTATATTTCAGATTATTCAATATGCATCACACTTACATTGTTTTAATAATCAATGTGGCTAAACTTATATAATCCTTTAAAATACAACACAACTCAACGTGTCCACTGCATTTTGCACCATATTTATTTTGCACTGCAATAAACCTTTTCATATTTATGCCCTTTTGCACTATTATATACCATTATTTATAATGGTAATGTTAATTTCACTGATGTCAGCTGTATGCAGCGATATTTCGTTAAACAACAATAAAGTTTGTCTAAGTCTAAACTAAATAAGGTAGTCGCTTAGAATGCATTTCCAGCAGTCTTAAAGGAGTTCCCAGAGTTAGTAGGGGTCATTAGGGGCACGTAAACAAACTTATACTGCTAGCCTACATTTCTACCTGTATACTGAAATTTTCCACTCCTCCTTCAGGTCAGTTTGACCCAGAACTGCCAGCCTCCACGGCGATCAGGCAGAGCAGCTCAAATGAAAACCATTATCATCTTTCTCCTCTTCTTCCCTTTCTTCATGGGTGCCCTGTCAATTGTTGCGTACACTTCCTGGAGGTAAATAAACATAATTTTACAGCTTGAAGGTAGCTCATTTATTTGATAACTTTGTCTCGTAATGAATATGATATGCTATTTCTAATCCAATCCTCAGTCTGACTCCCTCGGAGGGGTGCGGCCCTTTTCGGGGACTCAACAGAACGTTTGGTGTGATTGAAGGGTGGATAGATGATGTAGACAAAAACTTTCCTGGCTCTAAGTGGGCTGTATGGATCTATGACAATGTCATCAAGAGTGAACTGTTCTTCTTTCTTATCACACTCATTATCCTGTAAGTATTCATAACAGATGTGTTTGCTGCAATTAGTTTGAGTCTTTTAAAACATTTTTTTGACAGATAGAAGTTATGCATTTCTCTTTGTTGGTCTGTCACATCAGCCTAAGTGAGAAGTTGTGACAGAATGTGGAGACTTTTGGAGGGTATGAATGTTGCTGCAAGCGAGTCTGAACTGAATGAAGACTGTGCTGCACATTCATTTTGGCTGGTCATAGTGTAAATCTTGTTTCTGCTCTCCAGTGTCATCATATACATCTTCTGGCAGCTCGCTGAGGGCCGCAAGGAGCTCATCATTCTTCTCAGAGAGCAGATTGTTAACGTAGGCTCAAATTGTTTGTTATTGCATTTTATTTGGTTCATTTTTCAGAATTATTTATAGTGTTTATTTTGTTTTCCACTAATGTTATTTTTTCATATTAGGAGGGGCAAGACAAGTCCTTCCTGTTAGACAGGCTTCAAAACCTGCAGAGATCTGGTCCTAAAGTGAATAACCAACCGAAAAAACAGAAAACTGTGAGTTTTACAGATGTTCCAATTCTAAATGTATCGGTTTACACATTTGTTTTTTGATACTTTATTTAATATGTTTGTTTTTTTTTGTTTCAGCGGAACAAACCAGGTTCAGCTTTCTCTGGAAGTCCGTCCAACTCAAACGCAGTGGTTCAGGTTCTACTTGCTCGCCAGCAGGTGGAAGAACAGGAAAGACGCAGTGTCAGGGGGTCGTCAGTTCCATTAGACATATCTACCACTGATGCTATGACACAAGCCATTCTGGCACGTCAGAAAGCCGAAAGGGAGGATGAAAATGTTTATAACATCGCTGACGAAAACCCTCCTTCCCTCAATGCAGTTGCACAGAGCTTGGGAGCCAGACAGAGGGCCGAAGAGAACGACCAATACTGGAGCACGACTAACTTTAATCAAAGTAACCCAGTTAATAGACTCAGTATGCGAGCAGGGCAAAGAGCTGAAGGGGGCAGGGGAGAGGATTCATATGATGGTCCATCCTCAGCATCAAATGTAATGGCACAAGTCATGCAAGCCAGGCAGAGAGTAGAGGAAGAGGAAAGGAATCAGTGGACCCGTGCCCCTGGGCAAAACCCCGCTCCTTCTGGCTCCAGCGCTCTCATCCAGGCCATGTTGGCCCGGCAGCAGGTGCAGGACGAATATGATGATGGTTACTGAACAAGAGCCTCAGACTCTATCCTCAACACAATGTTGGAATATATTTTTGTGGTAAAATCAAATATAGTGTTATATATCTAACCGAAATTTAAAAATTTGATACTAGAAAAAGTCTAGAGTTGCACGTTCACCTTTTCATTTAAGCATTTTCTATTAGTATATGTTAAGTGTGTCTTTCATGCATGTAAGGTGTTATAGAAATGATTTGTAGGGTTTATCATGTGCCATGTTAAGTGCATTTCTTGTAAAACAATCTTAAATCACTATAACGGCTGCACAAATGTTAGCAATCTAGAACTGTTACCTCAGAAGCAAACCCTGTTTCACATCAACATGTTAACACTTTTTCTATGTGTTTAACTTGATTATCACCTCTGAACAGTTCAGCATTTCATTTAATACAAATATAGGTTAGACCTGTGTGATAATGTTTTAAAGGAAATTTTCAATTATATTGAATAGCACACCTTACTATTTTTTTCATTTCTTATATATTTATAAAATTAACTGATGTATATTTTGGGAAAAAAATAAATAGAAAAATCCTGGAAATGGAGCGGCTCATCATTTTTTAAATTTTCAACATGGAAAAAAATGCCTGAAAATTAAGTAAAAGTAACAATGCAAAGATACAAGAAAGAAATAAAACCTATCCTTGGAAAAATAATCATTAACAGCATGAATATTTAGCAGATATCTGGTCTTTAGGTTTGTTATAGATCAACCTTTGATATTCGGAGCTTCAAAGATTATATCTAAGAATTGTTGTTTGCAAAATAAGAAGAGAGCTTCAATTTATTTTCCTTATGTGCTCAATTCTTGCAGATTCCTGCAGGCAATGGGTGAGAGATCGCCAGTCCAACACAGACAGTCAACCACCCTCACACAAACTTAAGACCTATTAGCAATCCACATGGATCAATAAACTAAGCAGAGATGTGTTCAGACTGTGGCAGGAGGCCTGTGTACCCAGAAAGAAAAAATCCATGAATGGACAAAACATTTAAACTTAACACAGAAAAGACCCTTAGAGCAAACAGTGATGAGTATTGGTCCTTAAGTTTTAACATAACTGTGCATGTTTTAGCAACCACAGATGTTTCTTGAACAACCAACTTTGTTTTGTTTTTAATAATGGAGGGAAAATTAAGGGAACTGTTTTAGCCAGTCAGAGGCAGCATTTATCCACTCACTTACTTCATGTGTTTACTCTCCTTTTACTTCATAAAGTCAAGAAAATGCAGTAAACATTTTTTGGAAGCCATTTTTGAAATACCTTTTTTAAAAACTGGGTTTCATGGTTAGACAGCATAATAGTGACTAACAATTATCTTTTTCTGCTCCAGAAAATAAAAGGTGAACAGGCACAGGTTCAGTAAATGTTTTGTTTTACTTACTATGAAGAAAACCCAGTAAAGCCTAATGTTTGTCATTCTGTTAAAACTGCCAAAGTTGAAGGCAATAAGAAACTGAGAGAAACTTACAATGTTTATATGTTTGAACTCAACATTTCCTTTAATTTTGCAATGTATTAAGTAACACAAAGAAGATACAACTGCATTCCATGGACCTCAGATGGCAGATCCTTCTTTTCCAAGTTTATTTCTGGCTTTTCCAACTTGAATTAAGTGTGACTTAAAGCTCCTTGACCTGCTTCAATTAAGGCAGTGTTGAAGAGCATAAGATGGAGCAGACCTGCAAAAACTTGAGAGGTGAACACAGCAAAGATATTTCAGCACTGTTCTTCCCCAAGAGATGCTGCAAAGTCACAAAAGTCCAAGGAGGCAGCAGGTATGGGAGTCCTCCTCCCGCTTTTAAGGGACTGATTGGAATACATGTCCACTGATTTAGAAATGGAGTGCAAGGAGTTGCCCCGATAGTATCTGTACGCCTCACGCGCGTTCTCTTCCCTGATGGTTTGCTCGAAGGTCTTCCGCTTGTGTCTGAACTCGATAACTGTCTTTGTATAGGAGTTGAGGGTGGTGACTGATGCGCCCATACAGCAGGTGAACGAAGCCCACGCCAAGCTGTTTAAAAAAGAGGAGAAGAAAAGGTTGTTTTGTAAAACATGAAATTATATTTTTTAGTTGTGACAGATGTAAAGCCAGATTTAAAAAAAAAAAGGAAAGCAGGATATGAAATATACTATCCACTCCTATTGGAACACTCAAAAAGGATTGAAAATGGCATCCTTCATTTGAGCTTATTTAAAAAAAACATAGGAAGAGTCTAACCTTGTAAAATTTTTTAAAAACAAATCACCAGTGGCATATATCTCAAATCCAAAAATGAGAAATGCTTTAATATGGCTTTAAGTAAATCTGTGCACTTAGATCGATGAAATTTAAGTTTTTTAGCAACAAAAGGGAGAATGGCTATTTAAAGAACCTCCTGTTAACTGGTCTGTCAGGTCGAAGATCTTAGATTTAGCCCACTAGTTAAATGATTGTATCCAGAAACATTAAACCCACACTTTAATCCTTATTAAGAATTAGTTTCTCAAAATATTGTGCTAGTCACTCATTTTATTGGTGTTTTCCTAACATTCCAACAGTTCTGCATGTCAGTCAAACACTCAGTTTTCGTTAAACTATAATAACCATAATTATGTTATGTTAAAACAGATGCTAAATCCGTATGTTACAAATTCTGAATGTTTTTTTTTTATTATTATTCAGTATTATCTTGAAAAGCACTGCAGACACTTTATTGTACAGTTTTTGAATTGGAAATGAATATGCGTTTTATTGCAAAAACCATATGGTCAAATTGCTTCAAATATAAACTCTAGTGATATCATATTCTCATATCCTTTGTCCTTGGAGTACAATATGAGGTCAGCCCACAGCTTTATTGTCGGTTGAAATACTTTATCAATTCCAAAATTTAATTAAATGGATGAAACCCAAAAATCTAAGCTCAGTTAGAATCATGGACACTGGGGGATGGCTGGGAGGAGGAAGGATCTCCTGCAGTGTTCTTTCTCATAGCGAATCTATAGAACAGATCATAAGAGGATGCTCGGGGTCATACCTTATGTTTTTAATTCTATTAAACTGTATAAAAAAATATAAAAATTCTATATATATATATATATATATATATATATATATATATATATATATATATATATATATATATAAAATAATGAATTTCTAGAGGTTCTAGTAGTAGGAGTAGATCCCAGGACCGAGCTTTGAAGTCTTTGTCAAATTCAGAGGTTGAACCTGCCCTAACTTGGACTTTAGTTGTAATTTGGGTCTTTTTATGTACATTTCTGCAAGATTCAATTGTACCTGTGCACATTTTCCAAAGTGCAGACAGATACTGTAGTCCAAGTCATAAAGTTAAGTGCAGACGAAACTCTTTTTCTTTATGCTAGTATCTTCAATACAAATCATAATTATGCCATCAAATTTTATCTGTGCCTTAATCCTGAAATTAATGTAATACTCAGTAATTGTAGAATATCAAGCAACCTAATTCTAACAGCTGAGATTTGTTATGGTCACTGTATATCTTTATTTTAATTAAGTCTAGTCCTGCTTTAACATAAATTCAAGCCACATTAGTTAACATTATAATACTCTGTGTTATAATGATTAATAAGCAGATATATATTGAATGCATTTGCATTAAACTCAATAAAAAATTTTTATCTGAAGGATTGTCTTCAGGTACGAACTTTACAGAAAGGCCCTGTCACCATTTATTAACATAATTTATAGTAGTAGTTAAAAAAGCGTTTTCTGGCATTATGGCAGGGAAACTTACCCAGGAAATGTTTTTTTTTAGCTAATCTGTAACTCAGACTGGTTGAACATCTACAGAACTCTTTGTTTGTAGAAAGAGATATGGGCAAAGATGTAGCTGAGTGCACAAATAAATGTTGAGAGAGGCTGGAGCTGCTGAGCACACCCTTAAGGATGAAGCGCAAACGCAAAGGCGGAGCTAAGTGCGTGCAAAGACAGAGTAGTGCATGCACACAGCGGGCCGAGCCAGAGCTCAGCGCGCACCAGAACCGTCTTGAATGACCATGCGGGAGATTTAATTAAACAGTGCAGATCAGTGTTGCTGCATGCTTACATTGGTAACTGATGGCATATTAGCAGGCAGTGACTGTCTACCTCACCGTAATCTGTTACTGGTATCCATTGGACTCCAGCTTACTTTCATCCCTGTATAGACACTTTAAAAAAAAAAACAGAAAATGACCAGTGTGCTGAGCAAAATGGATGAATGCTGCAACAGCCATTTGTATTATAGCAACAACAGTTTTAAGCCTGATTCAGTTTAAGCAGTCCCATCAGGAGGAATGGAGCCAAATTTTAGCAAATTACAGTGAAATGTTTAAAAAATGGTACAAAACATGACATAAAAGCCAGTATCACTAAATATACAGAAGATGTATGAAAAATTCTGAATGAGAAGACAGAAATGTGTTTATCTCGGTATTGCTACATCAAAATGAAATTATTTGTGATAATCCTGTCATAAATTATGCTTGTAAAAGGATCCAATAGCAGATCAACAAGAGACAGAATAATGCAAAAACAAAATACAGATAAAAAGACTAATTTTGAAAACAAAATAAAGTAACTATGGATGTAAATTATTGCTTAATGCTGTAGTGTCAGTTTGACAAGCATCATCTATGTGCATTTCTGTGATATAATGAAGTCTGGTAGACTAAAGGCTGTCCAGACTCGCTGGGAGATCCTTCCCGACCCACATCAGTGCTCTAAATGTTGACCCCATGAAAGTTAAAATAGCAGGAGCTAAGAGCAACAATCAGATGATTTGGGAAACATCCCCTGTCTATGTTTTTTGTGCTGGAAATCTAAATAATTTTAACTGTGGTATTAAAGAAAACATATTGTCTCTGTTATTAAAGAAATCAGACTTTTTTGCTACAGTAATGAAAACAGGACTTAGAGCCTGTGTGAAAGCAACAGAAGAATATAGCAGAAGGCAAAGAAAATCATCAAACTGACTAAACACACATAGCCACAGGGGGAACTTAACACGTTTCTCAGAACTCAAATTAGAAAAGTTGGATTATGTAATCTCCAGGGGAATGCTTTCTAGTTTCCCGCTTTTGGACCGTTCTATACTGCATGGTCAGTTTTTCACATTGAAAAAACTCTGCTCTATTCAACATCCTGTTCATATGCACTGCACTAGAGCATATTGTCTTACAAAGATTTAAAAAGGAGGATAGAAGGAAGATCTTACTCATCAAAGGCTAAAGACGATTAGTTTCAAAAGTGTGTAAAACATATGACTCAGCAGAATACCAAAAAATCCTCAAAAAGCTGTCAACCTCACAGAATAAAGCTAATCAGGAAAAACTTTAACGACAATAAATTACCTAAAACAATTCAAATACATAAACAAGTGAATCCCAACAACAATGACTCCCATGGATAATGATCAATTCCAAAAGACAAAGAAAAAGGACATTTTAGCTAAAAAAAACTCTGTTTATATTAAATAAACATGGCACAGCACTGGTTAAGAGGGATTTGGACAGATAAAAGTGCGAAACAGTAAAGTACCCTTACTACTGGCTTTCTTACATGTTGCTCTCTATTGTTTACTTTCCTGATTTCTTTCGCACTGATGACATCATCAATGCTAACCCTGAGTGATGGTGTCACCAGACACGCAGATGGGACAGAGGCCACACAGCTACCAGCGAGGGGTTAAACCCAGGTTTTTTTGCCAGTAGGAAGGGAGTTAAAGGCAGATTGTTAGCTGGTTTTAAAAAAACGGGTTAAACGCATTATTTTCAGTGGGAAAGAGGCTATATTGGCCTCCCTAAATGAGGACAGTAATGCTAGAAAGAGAAAGAGCAAGAGTTTAAAGGTATAGTGGAGGATGTTCTTTTTTGATCATTAAAATAAGTGGTTCTCCTAATTGTCTATCATTCTGATATGTTTACGTAAGGCCGTCCTATATAGGCATTCCCACTCGGGGGTGGGTACAGGGTTGTGCATGTGCATTTTTTGTTTTTTTAAGTGGAGAGGGTCTTTTCAAAAATTCGCGAAAATCCTCCACTGTACCTTTACGTTAAAGAAAAAACAAACTTTGTTTTAGGTCTAAATCTAACCAGAAAGACCACCCATAATCCCAGTTGTAGGGCCTCCAGTCCGGTGGACCATGGCTAACGGTGACCTGGAAGACCTGGGTATACATCACATGAGCCACCATGCCAAGAAGACCTAAAACCAGATGCACAGTAGAGTCAGTCTTGCACTTTTTAGTTTTTGTCTTTGTCAAAAAAAAGGTACATGATTTCTCAGATATACAAAGCAGTCAAATACTTAAATGTAGGGCTGCTTAAATATTATCTTAATAAGCAAGCGGTTACTACCTGAGAGCACTGTGAAGACAGCAGCAAAGGCATTGAGCTTGAGCCCATCAATTATGTTGCTTGAGTGGACCAACTCCATACACATGAGGCTGAAGCCCACCATCAGCAGCAAAATATATAACATCTCAGAGACCAGCGACAGCCACAGCATTCCTGCAAAAATGACAAAAGTAGTTTATTAAAACTCATTACTATATTATTCATAAGAAATCTAAAAATGAAACATATTCTTTAAAATTTCTTTGCAAAACACCTCCAGCAGTTTCTGAGCTGTGATATATCCAATCCAACACAATTTGTGATTTTTATATTGCACAGGCAAATGTTCTAAATAAAATCAAAGTTTGATACATTGTTAAAGAATTTAATGTGACCATATATTCAAAACTATAATGTGATGGCAGTGCAAAGATCCCAGAAGTTTAAGTTGAATAAAAATATAATTAAAAATATTAAAAATATTGTGAACTGCATTTTCTTTCCAAGTTTCACCAGTTGGTCCCAAATGCCCTTTTAAATTTCTAATCTCATATAAAATGCAACTGTCTTAAAAGATAAATAAAAAGGCATGTTTTCCAATGATTAATAGTGACATCACAGAGCAATGGATAAAGAAAACGTGCATGAGGATAACAATGTTATTGGGGAAAATGAACATGTATTATTTAAAGGTTTAGAGATCAGAAAGGCTCTTAAGACTTATTTGCCGTTGACATGAACCTTCTGAACTGTTCCTCCATCCATCTTAATGTAATGCTCAAGATTATCTTTAAATCCTTAAATATTACATTCCTTAAACGCACATACAAGCCTACATTCTGAGCGAAAGCAGCTTTTATAGACCCTGTATCATCACATTAAGTAAGAAGGGCAATTCTCACATTTCTTTCTGACAATTCTTTTTATTTTGAGGATTTACCCGCCTGTTTGAACCATAAAAAAAACCACCAGATGTTTAAGTGCTAAAGTTAGAATTACGTTTAAACTTGATTTCAACCTATAGAGACTCACACAGAGAAAAAATGCAATTAGAAACGTTTTATTGAATTCAATTATTTGCAAGTATTGTAACACAGACAGAATGGTTACGATTTACTATCTAAGGAAAACCAGCAATAATGATAATATTTGAACTTCATTGATCTCACAGTGGAGACATTTACCTGTGCATTTAACCCATCCCCTTGGGGAGCGGTGGGCTGCCATTTGCGGTATCCGGGGAGCAGTGTGGGGTTAAGGGTCTTGTTTAGAGACCCAGAGTGCAAGCTGTGGGAATCAAAATGGTACTTGCATCCTTCTCAGAGCACAAGCACACTGGCTAACCACTAGGCCAACACTTGCCCCATTTACCCTACCCCTCTGTAACCGACCCATGCCGAGTTCAGACCGAGCTTGGATCAGTTAAACGTGTCGAGCTTGGTTCCTTACGATAATTTACTTATCATGCTAGCACAGTTCTTTGCCTCCTATAAGCAGTCCATGATAGTATAGCTGGAGGCAGGAATTAGACTAAAAAAAATGGTGGCGCCCTTAACATTCAGTAACTTATGTGTCTGGATAGCATCTTCCAGACAAATTTCAATGAGAGCCTCGGTCTCGGTATCATGTCAGGTCATTTATGATGCCATTGATTGTTAAAAGGCTAAGAAGAAGTTTGTGTAGTGAACAGATGAAGAGATCTGTGAAAAGCAAAGTCTGACACGCCGGAAAACTCACAACATGAGTCAGCTGAATGTAAATAGAAGATGACGCGATCTGCTCATGCTCTCCTGGTTATCAGAGAACTGAGCCACAGATGAACCTTGCCAAGCCTTTCTGTTGAACTAGTACTAGATTTAGCGAAGTTCGGTTGTGTCTGGCACGGTCCAATTCAGTTCCATTTACACACAACAGTTATCTCAGTTACGTGCTCGGACCGTTCTCGGCACAGTTTCAAAAGGTTAGTGTAAATGGGGCTATGGACTCTATGCATTTCCTCACAACGAGCATGCATGTAGTGACGGTGGAGAGGAAAAACTCCCTTTTAACAGGAAGAAACCTCCAGCAGAGCCAAGATCAATGTGTGCAGCCATCTGCCGAGGCAGACTGGGATTCAAGGAGACAGAAGCAGATATTGACATAATGAGATAGGATCTTTGTAGCTCGGGCCTCGGCAGAAGACTTTGACTGCTTTTGCTTTGATGAGTTAACTAGGAAGAGTAGAGTAGTCTTCCCCCTGGGGACTGGTCACTGGTGGTGGAATAAGCTGGAGGATAAAACAGTCTAAGAGTGGACTAGAAGAGAGGGAGGAGATGGGGTAGAGGTGGGTAAAAGTTTGGCTAAAGCACTGAATGAGGAAGCTGGGCCTTCATTTTAATGAAGAGCATCTTGAGAAATGATTAGTTTGGAGAGGGTGCAGCTTGTCGTCGATTGGCCGAAGCCTGAGTGAGAGACGTCAGCAGGTTAGGCTGATTAGGAGTCTTTCAGGTTGGACTTTAGCTTATGCTCCATTTTGTACCTCAACTTAATGTGCATCCCAACTCTTTAGCATGACTAACAGTGCTTTGAAAGTACAGCTGTTTCAGTGAGAAGCAGACAAAGTCATACAGTGATGTGAATTAAATAGCCCTCTTCCAAATCAGGCTGTTAGGTCATTATAAAAAGACCTTCAAAGAAAAGGTTCCTTGGGTCCACAACCTTAGAAGTATTTATTGAACTCAATGTCAATTACTTTGCTTCTTGTCTAGTTTTTTTATATGTTTTTATTTTATATTTTTTTTATTGAGGTTAAGTGTGTTGCTGGCATTAGATATTTTTGCATACTTTTGGTATGCTAGCAGATGATGGTAGCTAGGCTCTGATCAGTTGTTTTATTTTTATTCTTTATTCTGCAGGTCTGACAGTAATCAAGTCTTGGTAAGGCTGGTAAAAATGGTACATTGTATTCATTGTTTAATAAGCGAGGTGATTACTTTTTACTTCCTCCAACAAGGTTGTGTTTTTATCTGCATTGCTTTGTCTGATTGTCTGTTTTCAAAATAACTAAAAATGTCATGGATGGATTTTGATGAAATTTTCAAAGAAGCTGTGTATTGTGTCTGGCAACAAACGAGTAAATGTTGAAGATGTTCTGGATAACCATCTGGATCTGGGATTTTTTTTGAAAGATTCTGTGAATACAGGTATTAATGTAAGGTGGAAGTCACAATACGTTGGGGGCAATTAGCTACTTGGCGGAAGACTGCGCTCTCTGAGTGCTTTTCTTGTTTGACACAGCATCCCCCTCACTACCAGAGAATGCTCCACTCTTAACACATTCAGAACTCAGTTAAAAAACTGGTTAAATTCAAATCCACAATGTGCTCAATAAACCTTATCGATCTCCTGGTGCACGACTCAGCCAGGATCAAGTGTTACCATGTAAAAATCTATACATATTTATGCTAATATAGCTAAAATAGCTGTATGACCTGCCCTTGTACTGTAAGTATTTATACTTACAGTACAATATATACTTCTATTTATACTTTTTTTTACCTTTTCTAATTTTGTTTTAGAATTTTTTTTGTAATTGTTGTTGGCATTATGCACCTTGCCCAGGGATAAGAGTTGAAAACTAGTTTCATAGTTAATAATGACATATTTAGAGAAATGTTCATTAATGTGTACTGTACCTGACAAATACATAAATAATGGGAATTGATTTTTGTGGTTTGGGTTAATTTTGATACAAACATTTGTTTAATAATCTGAAATATTTGAATGTGACAAAGAAAAACATTTCTAGTATAAACATAATTTTTATAGCATAGAATAATAGTCACCTTTCTCGGATGCAGGAGCTAAATCGATGAAACTCCGGCATCTTTCACCTTTAAGGTAGAACAAAAAAAAACATAAATTCAAACCCAAAATCACCAAATACAACATCTGAGCCTTTAGTTTTGTCTTTAATACATTATGACTCCTATTAATTCCAGGTTGGTTCAACAAGATCAGCTGATAGTGCGACCTGATAAATCTTTAAGGGGAAAGAAAAAAATAAAGTTCATGAGTTCAAGAATAACTAAACTCCATGTTGAAGATGAGACATATGCCAGAGATGGTCCTTTTCTGACCTTCTGTTCAGGGTCACCAGATGGTGTTCTGGCAGAGCTGCTCAATCTGCTTCAGAAAAAAAAAAGGCAGACAGTGTAAAACCAATCACAGTCGCCAGAAACTATGACAACCCTCTGTCAGTTCAACCAACAGGATAGAGAGACGACCTTTGACCCCATGGATTTCTGCACATATATATGAGCAGATTCCTTCTGTCACCAATCTGGCCTGGCATGTCTCTGGATTTGTTGTAAGTGGAACTGTTTAATCAGGTAGGTGCAAAGCAGCAACAGCTGTTTTGAGGAAAAACTCATCAAGGCCCCGAGTTACATAATCCTCATTAACTTGATCTCCTCAGAGGAAACATGTAGCTAAAGACACGAAACAGCTCTGCTTTGGCCAGACATTAAAAAGCCTCGCTCTCCAGAATTATTTCCAAACTATCAAGTGTATTTAAATTTCAAGAAAAAAAATCTAATAAATTAAATACATTTATTTTACACACATGCAACACCATAAAGAACCCAACAGAGCTTTCATTTCACATAGGGCCTACATTTGATATTCTGAAGAGAAATGGTGATGAAGAAGAATAGACATAACCTAATCTGAAATAATATTGAAGAGATGTTTAATCTGAATAGAAAAGAAATAAAAAAAGAACAACTAAACCTGGGATTATGTTAATCTAAATCGGAAGCTTCAGAAATGGAAATCTAATTTTAGTACTGGGTTTATGGACATAGTTTTACAGGCGGAGAACAGTCGGAGCTTTAAACACATATTTTTTAAGGCACGTATAAATAAATAGACATGTAGAATTGTTTTATGGCTGAGGATACAAACTTATGTGTTAAAAAAAACTTTCCATTATAGCTAAATAAAGGTGCTTTAACAGACGCTTCCTGATTTAAAATCAGCTTTCCAATTAGAGGCCAACAGGTGTGTTTAATTAGCACCCACAGACCTGCTCTTACTTTCATCGTGGATGTTTTCCTCGCATGAGAACCAGATGCCGGTGTGGAACTGTCTGAACAGGAACCTGTCATCCCCGGTCTCCCAGCTGTACACCACCTTGTTAGGGTCCGTTTCGTTCACTCCGTAGTCTATGCACTGGTGCGTCCGCAGTTTGCTGCATTTGGGCTTTGGCACCCGCTGCGTGCCCACGCACCAGTAAGTTGTAATGAAGGCAGTGATGGCGAAGAACAGGGCAAAAAAGTTCAGGCTGACCGACAGGAGGGTCCTCGTCTTCATCTTAAAGGATGCACGAGCCTCAGCAGCATCAGCGGCGCGCGCGGGGCCCAGAAGTTCATGGGTGCGAGGTGGAAGAGACGCACAAGCGCACCCGCTGAGGAGACGGTCGCATTGGAGACCCAAAAGGTTGAGGAAAAAGCAGCCCACAGACAGGCTACATCTCCAACATGGAGCCCAGACGGAAGGCAAGGTGATTTATTACAATCTAATTCACACGCGCGCTTCACCCTGAGCCTGCACAGACGTCACGTTGTGAGAGGATTTGATGGTGGTTTGCATCAGTGTGGGATTTTCTCCTCATGCTCTCCTTCTCTGGCTGCTGCTGACTTTAGGACCTCCCTCCAACCATCCATCACACTTACGGAAGAGGATTAGGGCCACTGAGGAGAAAAAAAAAATTAACTGATTTTTAAATATTATTTCAGTTTAATATGGGAAAAGGTCCAAATTCTGACTTTAATCTCAGTATTCTGACTTTTTTTTCCTGAGAATTCTGACTTTTTTCCCCCCCTCAGAATTCCGACTTTAATCTCAGAATTCTGACTTTTTTCCCTCGGAATTCTAAATTTAATCTCATGATTCTGACTTTAATCTCAAAATTCTGACTTTAATCTCAAAATTCTGACTTTAATCTCAGAATTCTGACTTTAATCTCAAAATTCTGACTTTAATCTCAAAATTCTGGCTTTTTTTTTCTAGAATTCTGACTTTTTTTCTCTAGAATTCTGACTTTTTTTTCCAGAATTCTGACACTTTTTTTTGCAGAACGCTGACTTTTTTCAGAATTCTGACTTTAATCTCAGAATTCTGACTTGTTTGTTAGTTGTCAAAATTCAGTCAGAAGTCTGAGATTAAAGTCAGAATTCTGACTTTTTTTTCTCATATTCTACTGAAATAAAGTTTGAAAATCATTTAACTTTTTTAAAATGTTGAGTTGCCCTAATCTTCTTCCGTACGAACTGCTTACCAAATGCTTTCACAGAGAAAATGGACACAACCGAACCACCAAGCAGCCCAAGACATCAAGATTTTTATCATTTAAGTTATTGTTTTGGATTAATAGGCTACAAAAAATAAATTAAGCAATTGATTTGTGTTAATATTTCCATGAAATTAGCTCATTATTCATCTAAACCATCCTTATTTCTTAAATACCCGAAGATTCCTGCATTTTCTCAATCTCCCCTTCTCTTAAATGTATGCCAACAATAACTTCAAGTCCACAATGACCTTATTTTCTTAAAACTTCTTGGATTGCCTTTTGTTTGTAATTTTACAGTGTGTGTGATAGAGCAACACAATGAGGGGAAAATGCTTATTATGTATAAAACCAAAGCAATAGACTGGGGTTTCAAATTTGTAAAATGCATTAATTAAACGTAACTCATAATTTGATTAAGGGGAATTGTTTTAGTGCAAGACTAGTTTAGATCAGAGGGCCTACTTTTTTTCAACACCCACCCTCCCAGAATCTGTAATTGGTAAAAGAGTCCTTGAACAGCTTTGCCTTAAAAAGGCTGAATCCCCAGTTGAAGTGAAAATCTCAGTGTGAATTTTGGCAGTTGAGTCAATGCTTGCAAAATCTTACTGTTACCAATGTACATCTAAACTTTTCAAGCTGAATTTAATTAATGAATACTATAGTCTGTGATAATTAATCCCAGAACGGATATTTTTGTCTATAGATAACATAATCATAATCCTAAACTGACAAGAGAAAAAGCAGGACAGCAGAAGAGATAATGAGGATAAGAAAGGGGTAGGGCTTAAAGGAAATGAATCTAAAGCAGGTAGAGCATTAAGCAGGGCCAAATTAAGATGCTACACTATGACTTTTTAGTGATTCCTGTTATGCAGTGTCGAACACTGCACAACCAGTCCACACTCACGTTTCAGCATGTATTAACTAAACCAGCTAACAATACTTGTACATTAAATACTTTTAAATCCTCAGTAGGATGCATTTATACTTCCCCTGTTAGACCTTTAGTGTCAGAACACAAGTATGTCATTTCAACCTGGAGAGACTCACAAGGAACAATTTTTGACATTAAATAATATATAGATATTTATGGTGTTGAGGATTGTAAAGAAAGCTCTGGGTTTAAACCTTAAAGCTTTCTCTGATTCTTTCCTGAGAAGAAATCACTTGGGACAAACTCTTTGAATAACACATTATAATGTATATGTATTAAATAACCATGAGACATGAAAACAGATTAGGGTTACGGAAGGAAGTGCTTACCAACCGGGATCCCTTCTTGTTGAAGTGGTCCTGCATGACAGTTAAAGAAGCATTTTATACCACTCCAGTATGCCACATCATCAAATCATTACATCATAGACGTTTGTTAATGAGGAGAAATTTATGTTGCAGGTGGTTGGAAGAAAGGCACTTGATACTGATGAGGCAGCTTATCGAGGAGAGTCTTGGATGCTATTGCCTCCTGAGGAAGCTTGGAGAGCAGGAGATGATTTGACAGTCTGGAGCTAAAACATGCCCGAGTCTTCCACACTCAGAAGAAACCTGCTTTTAACTTGGGTTAAGCTTTTTATTAGGAAACAAAAATCTGACATCAGGATTATTTGCTTTTAACAAAATTGTTGACCGCACACATTACACAGTGGTCTCCCTTCATTTTGTGCTAAACTTATGTTGCAGGGACACAAAAAAATCGTTTCCGTTGAAGTAGAAATAAATCCACACATTTCAAAATAATTCTTATGATTTGAAATATTAACTCAGTCCTCGGCATAGAGAACAAATTTTCTTTTTTATTTTTATATATATATATATATTTTTATATATATATATATATATATATATATATATATATATATATATATATATATCAACCCCTTATAAGCAAGTTTTTACAATTAAAAGCTCCTTTCTCAACCACACAGCTTTTTAAATGTAAAAAGCTTCCTGGATGGGAAGGGAAACGTCTTCACACTTGGAAACAAATTCCAGTGGATTGTTTTTTTACTTTTTTGGAATGGTCAACTAAAGAGACAGATGTGTCAGATCTGTAGCAGAAGACTAATCCCTGCATGGAAATCCATGGAATCCATATTTTTCCATGGTTATTTAAGGTAAGCCAGGTCTTGTTTTTTTTTTAATCTAGGGAAAAAATGTTGAAATGTGTACATTTTAATCCAAAAGATTCTATCAAACTTTAGTTCAAGCAAATATGTTGACAGTCAGGATTTCCAAACTGACTCCTATTCACATTTAGACCTAAACAGGTGTCTTTATTTGGACGTCGTTAATTCTTAGTCTTTCCTACCATAATCTCAGTTTGTTCAGACACAGTCCAATTTTCTAAGTCTGTTTAGTGAAAATTCACTCTTGGAAAAGAATTTCAAAATGACAAAAATGATTAAACCATGTATATAAAAGGGTCACCAGTGATTTTCTTCTATCTTTATATTTCTCCCTAGAGGAAGGCTCGACTTTGACAAACTAATGCCACAGCAGTGAAAAAGAATCCTGTTTGGAAGCAAGAGATTGAGTTGGTATACCTCAGACCATCTGGAGCACTGTTGGGATCTAAACTTTCCCTCCTTAAGAAGTGCTTTGTCTCTTAAAGTGACCCAGTAGTCGCTGCCACCAGCTGACAATAGCCTTATGGCATATAAGCATTAAGTTGGAAGACCAGTGACTTGGTTGCATCCTGATAAACACCACTTATGACGTCCATGTGGATGGTCAAAGGTTGCCTCCTGAGTTTCTAGCAATAGCAGGAAGTTAATCCCAGCTTCCAGTTGACACAGTTGAAGTTTATTCTTATAGAGTAGTGAAATAAATACTTACGCATCTACTGATCCTGTAAAAAGCAGAGGGAAAAATGTTACGTCATTCAGACGTCATACACACATATCACAATCTCAGCAGAGAAATGCATCCAGTATTAACCTCTAAACATAAAACAAGGGGGGAAAGTGCGGATTATAAATCAAGTGTTCTGTTGGCTAAAGCAACGAAAATACAGATTAAGCCTAAACCAAATAAAGCTTCAGTTTGATACTTTGGGGTTACATATTCTAATTCACAAATTTTTGAATTAAGACTCATATTGTTTCCACAGGGAATCAGTGTGTTTTTTGAGCCATTAAAGTCTGTTTATTATTGTCTTTGTCTGTACAGATGTTATTGACTATTTACAAAGCTTTATAATTGCTCTAAACGTGGTCCTGCCTACTGCAGTTTTTCCATTCTGTTGTAAAGCTGCTCCTGTTTTTCTTTTTCTTTTTTTTTCTTTTTTCTAGTGGGGTTATAAGAGCCATCCCGAGTTCCTTAACTTACTGCATGTTAGTGGGACGTTATAGTTGACACTCCTCTTCAACAACACAGGCAAGGTGCAGGGAGGTGGAGTCCCAATCCTGTCCCTCAGGGACCCCTGTACTTCATGATTTAAGTGTCTCCTTGTTGCATCAGACCAGAAAAGAATGGATCCATAAGAGACTTCTACAGCATTTAATTGCAGAGGAGGAGCCCTAATTTGAATCAGGTGTGCTTGAACAGACTTATCTAAAACATGCAGGGCGGCGGTCCTTGAGGGCCAGGGTTGGGAACCACTGGGTTAGGGGTTAAGGCAGACGTTCGGACACACCCTTAGTGTTGTGTGTACCTATACAATTTCTTCTGTCTCCTTGTTTTCGCCTCAGTTACACTTGAAATCCTCCATTGTGGGAAAATAAAGGTGTTTGTATTCTATTCTATACGATTAATCATTTATTGAAATAATTGTCAACTAATTTAGTAATCGATTAATAGTTAACTGGAGTATAGAGACTCTAAAATGGGTCTTTAGCTGACAGAGCGACCCACTTAGAGCAGTAATTATTCCAAAATTGTAAAAAAAAAAAAAAAAGTATTTAAAAATTTTGCATTTAAGATTAAAAAATATTTTTTGTCTGTCAATATGCTCTATCCAGAACTCCTAAAGTGGAAAAGATTTAGCTTGATTTTGTAAAATGTCTTCTTTAAGGGCACTTTTGCTATTCAATTATTGTTGCAGCCCTAGTTCTATTCCATTTCACACGAAATGGAATAGAACTAGGGCTCGTGTTGGCTCTTGATTGCTCTGGTGTGACCCAACAGAATTAAAAAAGACACCTGGATAGGTGTCTTCAAAAACTGAGTGAAAGTCCGGTTGCCTTCCAGTTTAAGCCTGTGAATCTATTCTATTCTATTCTATTCTATTCTATTCTATTCTATTCTA